AAGTATGTTGAACTGGTCTTGGAAAAGGCGCTGGACAGAGAGGAGCAGGCGGAGGTGGCTTTCAGTCTCATTGCCACAGATGGGGGCTCTCCGCCCAGGAGCGGGACCACCCAAATCCGCATTGTCGTTCTAGATGTCAATGACAACGCTCCGGTTTTCACACAGAAGGTGTACGTTGGGCAGGTTTTGGAAAACGCGCCAGAGGGCTCTGTGGTTCTCAGCGTGGCAGCAAGTGATCGGGATGTGGGAGTTAACGGGGACATCACCTATCAGTTCAGCCAAGCAGTGGGCCAGAGCCCCTCAGCATTCGCAATTGACCCCACGAGCGGTGAAATTAAACTCAGGAAGCCTCTGGACTTTGAGGCGGCAGAGAATCACGAGCTCAGTGTGCGGGCCACAGACGGCGGGGGCCTCTCGGCAATCTGCAAGGTGTTGGTGGAGGTGGTGGACGTGAATGACAATGCACCGGAGCTGGTGGTCAGTTCCTTCAGCAGCCCCCTCCCCGAGAATGCATTACCTGGGACAGTGGTCGCCCTCTTTACTGTCAGGGACCGGGATGCCGGTGCCAACGGGAAGATCTCCTGTGCCCTTGAGGACCAGCTATTGTTCTCCCTGCGGCTGGCCTATAAGAATTACTACGAGCTGGTGACCGTGAGCGCTCTGGACCGGGAGGAGACGGCTCGGTACATCCTCACTGTCACGGCTGCAGACGCAGGGTCACCTCCTCTCACAACGACCCAGACCTTCACGGTGGACGTCTCCGATGTCAACGACAATGCACCTGTCTTCAACCAGACATCGTACACCATGTACGTGCGTGAGAACAATGTCCCCACGGCGCTCGTTGGAGCCGTCAGCGCCTCGGATGCTGATGTGGGGCCCAATGCCAAGGTGACCTATTTCCTGGCCCCAGCCCACTCCGCAGAGCGGCCTCCCTGCTCCTGCATCTCTGTGAACTCTGAGAACGGGCACGTGTTTGTGCTGCGGCCTCTGGACTACGAGCAGGTGAGGCAGATCGAGGTCTTGGTGAGCGCCTCCGATGCGGGGTCACCTCCCCTCAGGGCCAACGTCACTGTCCGCCTTGTCGTGGTGGACGAGAACGACAATGCGCCGCTGGTGCTGCACCCCGCGCAGGACAGCAGCCCGCCCTCCA